TTTTTTTTTATTCAAATTTACTTAATATTTTTTTTAAATGTGTGTTGGTATTTTGTCATGGGTGTTGGGTCCCCTGGAACTGGAATTACAGACAGTTGTGAGCTGCCATGTGGTTGCTGGGAATTGAACTCAGGACCTCTGGAAGAGCAGCCAGTGCTCTTAACCGCTGAGCCCTCTCTCCAGCCCTTTTTCTTAATCTATGTTTGGTCTGCATTAAAAAGTAAATAAGTTGAGTTGTTCGGGCTAACTGTGAACTCAGTCTGTAGTCCAGGCTAGCCTTGAACTTGTAACCCTCCTAGCTCTGCTTCCCCAGTAGCTGAGATTGCTGCCTGCAGGAGCAGATCCTGCATGCCTGGCTCGCTTTAATGCCCACAAGTCCTAGAAGTTAACCCATTCCCAGTATGGAGGCATCAGAGCCCTTGTTAGAAGTCATGTGCCCCTTCCAACTGGACAAGGCTTCTAGAACGTTGCCTCTGTTCCCTCTTTCAGTCCATACACCCACCTATCCGGTAGGAACCGCCAACAGTGTCATTCGGAGGCTGCAGCCCATCCTAGGAGGCAGACAGATGGTTATAGGGAGCGCTTAATAGAAATTTCTTCATACTGGGGGCACAGTTCAGTGAGCTGCATGCGGAGGATCTCACGCCATCCTCATGCTGGCCCTTCTGAGACAGGTGCTGTTATGTTCTTCCTTGTGTTAGAGATGTGGAAACTGCGGCATAGAGAGGGGAACGTCACTTACGTTCCATCACTCCGCTAGCGAGTGGCACATCCTAGATTTGAACCAGCATTCATCCAATGCTGTTCGGAATACGGAGGTGGCGGTGGTGTGGACGCACAGTGGGGGAGGTGACGCCATCATGCCTGACAGCCTTCGCCTGGTCACCTTCGCAGGTGAAGCTGTGTGACTTCGGCTTTGCCCGCATCATTGGTGAGAAGTCCTTCCGGCGCTCAGTGGTGGGCACACCCGCCTACCTGGCCCCCGAGGTGCTGCTCAACCAGGGTTACAACCGCTCCTTGGACATGTGGTCCGTGGGTGTGATCATGTACGTCAGCCTCAGTGGCACGTTCCCCTTCAATGAGGACGAGGACATCAATGACCAGATCCAGAACGCAGCTTTTATGTACCCAGCCAGCCCCTGGAGCCAGATCTCATCTGGAGGTGAGCCTCGGTAGACAGACTAGGAAACAAGGAGGTGGGAAGGAGCCAGGCCTCAGACTTCATGGGCTGTGAGCATGGGGACGAGGAGGGCTATGTGGGTGCGGGAGAGCAAGAGTGAGGCCACACCTAGTAGGTGAGGCTGTCAGAGATTTGGGGGAAGCTGGGCCTGGGTGGGCGGAACTGCAAAGCGGTGCGGGTGGGCCCAGGCCAAAACGTGGGTGGGGCCGTAAGAGGGGGGTGGTCAAAGAGGCTGGGCTGTGTGAGTGGGTGGAGCTATGAGAGTGAACCCTGGAGGGGCAGGTGCCTTGTGGGTAGACCCGGGTACCAAAGGGGGTCACGGTGGCTTGAGACTCCAGGAAAAGTACAGAATCAGGGTACTGGGGAGACTCAGGGAACTTTCTTTTCTTTCCTCTCTCTCTTTTTTGTTGTTATTTTATTTCATGTGCATGGATATTTTGCCTGCATGTATATATGTGCATCATGTGCATTCCTACTGCTCCTGAAGGCCAGATGTGGGTGTCAGATCCCCTAGAACTAGAGTTACAGGTAGTTGTGAGCTGGGAACCTAACCTAGATCACCTGGAAGAGCAGCCAGTGCTCTTAACCACTGAGCCATCCCTCCAGCTCCAGGTTTATCTGTCTCTTTCTTTCGTTTATTTTATGCGTATGAGTGTTTTGCCTGCATGTATGCATGTGTGCCTGATGACAGAGAGGAGGTCAGAAGAGGGCATCAGATCCCCTACAAATGGAGTTACTATGGATGGTGGTTGTGAGCCACCGTGTGGGTGCTGGGAACCAAACCCAGATCCTCTGCAAGAACAGAAAGTGCTCTTAACCACTGAGCCACCTCTCCAGCCCTATCAGATGTGTTGTTTTTCTTTTGCAACAGTAGGGATTGAGCCCAGAGCTTCATGCATGATAAGTGCTCTGTGACTAAGCCATGTATATCCCCAGCTCTTTCGTTGCATTTTAAACACAGGATCTACTAAACTGCCAAGGCTGACCTGGAACTCATTTTGTAGCTCAATTAGGCATTGAACAGTTCAATGCTGGGATGAAAGGCCTGAGAGCCATCAGGCCTGGCTGAGACTCAAGCTTTAACCATGATATGTGATTTGGAACTCCTGAGACAGACATCTGCGGCCCTTGAGGATGGGATGCAGCTTATCCATGCAGCACCCTGAGAGGAACGGGACCAGAGGAAGCCAGAGTGGCCTGCACGTGGGTAGAGCTTTTCTAGAGAGAGGCTGGAGCCGGACTCTGTGAATGGAGCAGAGATGAGCCTGGAGCTTGGAAATGTGTCCAATGACAAGGCAACCCAGTCTAGGGGTGTGGCTTTGGGGTCAGGTGTGGGATAGGACATTTGAGAGGATGAGAGCCATGGGTGGGCCTGTTTGGTTTGGTTTAGCTGGCTTTGGACTATGTAGCAGAAGAGAACTTTGTACTCTCCATGCTCCTGCCTTGCTAGGATTACAGGCTGATGCTAGAAGAGCCTGGGAAAGCTTTGTCTCCATTGTTCCTGAGCAACACAATGCAACAGCTATTTACAGAACAATCCATTGTATTAGTAAAAGAAGTCTATGTCAGAGTATAGGGCAGTGGTAGAGCCCCTGCCTAGAATCCCCCAGTGAAGGGGCTGGGGTGTGACTCAGTGGTAGAGCCCCTGCCTAGAATCCCCCAGTGAGGGACTGGGGTGTGGCTCAGTGGTAAAGCCCCTGCCTGGAATCCCCCAGTGAGGGGCTGGGGTGTGGCTCAGTGGGAGAGCCCCTACCTAGAATCTCCCAGTGAGGGGCTGGGGTGTGTCTCAGTGGTAGAGCCCCTGCCTAGAATCCCCCAGTAAGGGGCTGGGAGCATGGCTCAGTAGTGGAGCCCCTGCCTAGAATCCCTCAGTGAGGATCTGGGGGTATGGCTCAGTGGTAGAGCACCTGTCTAGAAACCATCCTGAGAGGCTGGGGGTAGGGCCAGGTCAGTGGTAGTTCTCTTGCCCAGTACCCACGAAGTGCTAGGTTCCCTCCATAGCAATGTAACAAGAACACCATTCTAAGTTATCTAGAGATGGTTCTAAGCAAGCAGGGAGAATATGCAGAGGCTGTATGCAAACCTCTGCCATTTTACATAAAGGACTTGAGCATCTATGGAGTTTGGTATCCATGGAATCCCTGCAGATATTGCCCCTAAGCTTACATGGGCCACACAGTGAAGCCTTGTCCCTCAAGATGCTCTGCCAATGACAAAGGCTCAGTGGGGCCTTGGCTTGAACACCTGACACTCAGTGATCTTCCTTTTCACAAAGGCCAGAGCTTCTGTCACGGGGCCTTCTGAGGGCCGTGGTGGCTTCGGTGTGAGGCAGGCCTTAGTTTTCATTTTCCTTTTGTCAATATGACACGTTACTGTTCGCTCCCTGCTGATCCCAGTGATGTCACGATTCCATGGGAAATAATATTTTCACCTCAGAAAGTATAGTTATAAAAACTGGAGCTACACCAACCTAAGACAGAGTGCCTGTGTGACCTGGGTAGGTGTCTCCATGATGGGTAAGGTGACCTGCTGACGTCCCACGCAACCTAAGTCAGAAGCTCATTTTTTTTTCAAAGATTTATTTATTTATTTTGTACACAGAAAAGGACACCAGATCTAATATCAATGGTTGTGAGCCACCATGTGGTTGCTGGGAATTGAACTCAGGACCTCTGGAAGAACAGCCAGTGCTCTTAACTTCTGAGCCACCTCTCCAGCCCCCAGAAGCTCATTTTTTTTTTTTTTTTTTTTTTTGGTTTTTTCGAGATAGGGTTTCTCTGTGTAGCTTTGCGCCTTTTCCTGGAACTCACTTGGTAGCCCAGGCTGGCCTCGAACTCACAGAGATCCGCCTGGCTCTGCCTCCCGAGTGCTGGGATTAAAGGCGTGCGCCACCACCGCCCGGCCAGAAGCTCATTTTTTAGTAAAAGGGGGGACCTACAGGCCCTGGCCTTCGTTTTGGGTAACTGTTGCCTTGCTTGCTGACCTTGACCTTGATATCCTCCATATGCTAATTCCCCCCTGGGTTCCACCCTCCTGAATGCTTTAGGGAAGTTCCATGTCTGTGTATCCTGCATATTGGGTGTTAACAGCTTAGATGCAAGATTGTAAAACATCAGTAGCAAACTTCTGCCCTCTGGGGTTCTCCCATTGTGCTGTAAGCCTGTATTTAAGACCTCTTCCCTCCTTCAATAAACGGCATTTGGCATTAAAAACAAACAAACAAAAAACTGGAGCTAGGGGGCTACAGAGATGGCTCAGTTAAGAGCACTGGCTGCTCTTCCAGAGGTCCTGAGTTCAAGTCCCAGCAACCACATGGTGGCTCACAACCGTCTATAATGGTATCTGATGTCCTCTTCAGGCATGCAGGCATACATCTAGACAGAACACGCATACATTAGAACAAAACACACAAAAATAATAAAACAAGGATTTATTTTAAAATTTAAGGAAAAAACAAACAAACAAACTGGAGCTAGCAAGGGCTGGACAGATGCCTCAGCAGTTAAGACTGCTTGCACCTCCTGCGGGTCCCAGCATCCATGTCTGGTGGCTCACAAACCACCTGTAACTCCTGCTCCAGGGGATTCCAATTCTCTCTTCTGACCTAAGAGGGCACCTTCATCCACATATACAGATACATACATACATATAAATAAAAATAAATTTTGTTTGGTTTGGTTTTTGATACATATAAATAAAAATAAAATAAGTTTTGTTTCGTTTGGTTTTTGATACCGTGTATCACTATGTATCCCCGGCTGTCCTTGAACTCACAGAGACCTATCTGCCTCTCCTTCTGCCTCCCGAGTGCTGGGATTAAAGACGTGGACCGCGACAACCAGCCCAAAAATAAAATAATTTAAAAAAATGTAAGCTGGTCATGCTGGCATATACTTATAATCTCAGCAATTGCCAGGTGTAGCCCACGCTGGTTTCGAACTCCTGATCCACCAGCTTCCGGCTCCCCAAGGGATGGAGTGGGGCCACCGTGCGTGGTAAGATTGGTAATTTAATGAGAAAAGCAGGGATAAGTGTTTGGTCAGCTGGGCCAGTGCTGGAGAGATGCCTTTGAGGCAGGCAGGGTGGGGTGCCCTGCGGGAAGGAGGCACCGGTGGAGCTTCATCTGTCTCCTTCCCCCACAGCCATCGACCTCATCAACAACCTGTTGCAGGTGAAGATGCGCAAGCGCTACAGCGTGGACAAGTCTCTCAGCCATCCCTGGTTACAGGTGACGTACGGAGGGGGCTAGAGGGAGCGGCAGAGCTAGGGCTTTAATTGGCTGGGTGAGGGGGACCGTGATTGACTAGCCTATTGCTGGGCTGTGGTTGGGGCTGGGGCTACGCCGCTATTGGCTGAGCAGGTTTGTGGTGCTTTACCATCATTGGTCCCAGCGGAATCTACGCTGTTGCTGAGATTGCCCGTTCTCTGCCCAGCCTGTGGTACCCAAGCTAACCCAGTTCTTCCTGGCCCAGGAGTACCAGACATGGCTTGACCTCCGCGAGCTGGAGGGAAAGATGGGCGAGCGATATATCACGCATGAGAGTGACGACGCGCGTTGGGATCAGTTTGTGACCGAGCGCCTTGACACATCCACAGAAGGGGACCTGGGTTGCGCCCGTCTGCCGCAGGACCATGAGATGCAGGGGCTGGCTGAGCGCATCAGCATCCTCTGAGGCCAGCGTTTCCCCTGGCCTGCTTCCTTTGGAATCCTGCACACCAGCCCTAAAGCGAACTATTCTAGGGGAAGGGAAACGGCTTCCTGCATAGACTGTATGGGGCAGTATGCAGGGGGACTGGAGGATGGGGCGTCCGTCGCTAGAGCTTTTCTGTCTTTCCAGACGTTGAAATAGGCTCTTCTGGGGCCATGGTCTTAGTCTCTGAGGCCACTGCCCTAGGCCGTTGCCCACCAGAACGGCTGTATGTAAAGGAGGCGCCAAGGCTGGAGGGATGAGCCTGTGGGTAAAGGCGCTTGCCACCAAGCTTGACAACTTGAGTTTGAAGGAGAGAATCGACTCCTGCCGGTCGTCCTCTGACCACCACAAGTGCCCGCACACACAATAAATAAATTACTTTTTAAAAAGAAAACGAGGCTCCCACTGGCCGTGGTGGTGCGTGTCTATAATCCCGGCACTTGGAGAGCTGAGGAAGAAGGATTGCTTTGAGTTCAAAGCCAGGACTACAGAGCACGACTCAGTCTCAAAAGAGCCTTTTTCTGCGGTGGCTCCTGCCTGTAATTCCAGTGTTTGGGAGGTGGGTACTACTGCTGGGAGGGAGATGGGAGGGGGCCAGAAGGGGAAGAGTTTGGGGAGGAGGACTCCCTAGAGTAGTATGTAAGAGAGGGATATCACATGTGCCGGAAAGGGGGAAAGTGTGTAGCCTAGAGAAGGAAGAGTTCAGGTGCAGAGCTGGAAACGGCGGCTCACAAGCAATCGCCTCAGACATGCTGCTGCACGCTTTTAATCCCAGCGCAGATGGCTGAGTGCAAGGCCAGCCTGGGCTACATAATGAGACTCAGCCTCCGGGGGAGGGGAGGGGGCACCGTGAATGGGTGCAGTTCTCAGGACTGAGACACCTATCTTAAATTGGAAGTGCATTGTGAAGGGGCAGCCGATGGAGCCCTTGCCCAGAACCCACCAGGGAGAGCCTGGGGGCTTGCCTCAGCTGTAGGACATTTGTCTAGTATGTGCCAAGGCCGCTGTCCCACCACCTGGCACCTAGAAAAGCAGGTCAGGTGTTGTCGTACACCGGCAATCCTAACGCTGCAGGTGCAGAGCAGGATTAAGACACTGAGATTCATGGGCAGAAGAGACAGCTCAGGGAGCGAATGTGTTTGCAGGGCGCTGAGTTCAAGCCTCAAGCCAGCCACTTTTTTGTTTTGTTTTGTTTTTCGAGACAGGGTTTCTCCGTGTAGTTTTGGTGCCTGTCCTGGGTCTCGCTCTGTAGACCAGGCTGGCCTCGAACTCACAGAGATCCTCCTGCCTCTGCCTCCCGAGTGCTAGGATTAAAGGTGTGTGCCACCGCTGCCCAGCGAGCCTTTTTTCAATACAAAACAGAAAGGTGAGATGGCTCAAAGGGTGGTGGAGGTGTCTGCCACCAAGCCTGACGACCGAGGTCCTATCCCCAGAACCCACACAAGGGTTTGCAAGGAGAAAACTGACTCCCAAAGCAGTCTTTTGACCTCCACACGTGGCCCCTTCCTTTACCACTGAGCCGTCTCTCCAGCCCCTGTAGGCAGGATGTCTTTGAGTCCAGAGCTCCCTGTTTGGCTAGTCTGTCTAGCCAGCTTGCTCCACGAGTCCTCCGTCCTTGCTTTCCAAGGTGCTGGGCTTACGGGCAGGCTGCCATGTGCATCCAGCATTTACATGGGTTCTGAGGATCCAAACACCAGTCCTATGCTTATGCAGCAAGCTCTTTAACCACTGGACAACCCCTCCAGGCAATTTTTAAAAACCATTTTTGCACCGTGATACTGTCAAAAACTTCCTCCTTCCTTTCCTTCCATTTGAGGTTCTGGAGGTGGAGCCCAAGCCTTTACAAATACCAGGCAAGCATTGCACCACTGAGTGCCAGCGTGTGTGTGTGTGTGTGTGTGTGTGTGTGTGTGTGTGTGTGTGTGTTTGCGCGCGCGCGCGCGCGTGCGTGTGTGTGCGCGTGTGCATGTGTGTGTATGTGTGTATTGTGTGTGTGCGCGTGTATGTGTGTGCATGTGTGTGTGCGCGCGCGTATGTATGTGTGTATTGTGTGTGTGCGTGTGTGTGTATGTGTGTGTATTGTGTGTGTTGTGTGCGTGCGTGTGTATGTGTGTGCATATGTGTATGTGTGTGTGCGTGTGTGTGTGCGTGCGTGCGTGCACATGTGCACGTGTGTGTGTGTGTAGACAGAGTCTATGCCATGTGGGTTCCTCTATCACCCTCTACCTTATTTTTATTATATATATATATATATATATATATATATATTTTTTTTTTTTTTTTTTGGTTTTTCGAGACAGGGTTTCTCTGTGTAGCTTTGCGCCTTTCCTGGAACTCGCTTTGGAGACCAGGCTGGCCTCGAACTCACAGAGATCCGCCTGGCTCTGCCTCCCGAGTGCTGGGATTAAAGGCGTGCGCCACCAC